ATGTCCATTTGGAGAAGGGACATCTGTTTTTGGAGACTAATTGTGACACTCGCTATTTGCTCTTTGACTTTGTTGATCTCTTTGAGATGAAGCTGACTGTCAGAGGCATAAATTTCCATCGTGTTGCTTACAGCTTCACTCAATAGAGAGATAATCTCCAGAGTCTTCTGCACTGATTTGCTTATTTCTTTGAGGTCTGCGCTGTGTTTTCCTTCAGATTTCTCTATTAGCTGGGTGTGCCTGACTTCCATTTTTTCTATCTCTTGCCTAAAGGAGGTATGTTGAGATGCTAGGGCTGATTCAATCAGCCCTTGGACCTTATTTGTCCAGTTTTCCGGTATCTCATCCGGAAGAGCAGGGGTGGAAGAGCTATGGAAATGAAAGTTGGTTACCTGATGAGATGATGGTGTTCTTTGGAAGAGTTTCATAGGAAGAGATTCAGCGTCTTCTTGGACATCTTCTTCATCAGTAACCTTCAGTGTTCTTTCAGATTCTCCTTCTGTTTCAAGCACAAAATTTGATATATCCCTAGAGAGGGAGTCTCTTTCTTCAGCTGTATTCTGTTCTTCAAAGATGGCTACTTGAGTTTCAGAGACCTCTAGTTCTGCCATTTGAGTTTCTTTTGCAGCTTCTCCAGAATTCCTTTGTGCTTCAACAACTTGCTCCATTGTTTCTGGAAGAGCTGACTGTTCCGAAATTTCAGCTGACTTTTCCGGGATCTCAATTTCAGTAGGATTGGAGATCTCACAAGGAGTGGTGAGAATCTCCAAAACTTGAGATTGGATTAGTGGCTGAAATTCTTCTTCATCTGCTGTTTCCTGGTTCTGTTCTTGGGAGGGAGGGGTTGCCTTCTCTTGAACAACTTCAGTCAGAACCATTTCAAAAGCATGTGAAGTTTCCTGAAATGCAGGTGAGGTTTCCGGAAATGTTTGGAAATCTTCAGCTGTTGCTTCAGAAGTGAGAGCCACTTGATCTTCTGTAGCTTTTGAGAAGACTGGCTTGAAGACTGCAGTGTCTTCATCATCTGCTTCACAGTCTGAAACTGGCGTATTGGCCAGGTATTCCAGATGCAAGTCTTCAGGGTTCCTTTGCCATACCCAGTATTCATCCAAAATCTGTTCATAGTTGTGGTTGTTAGAATAAGTGCCCTTCACTAGAGGGGGGGTGAATAGTGAGGCACGAGAATGTTTATAAATTTTTGCGGAATAAAAATCGCAGGGATAAAGTAAAGAGCGGAATAAAAAGGAGTAAAGGGAGCACACCAAGATTTACCCTGGTTCACCACAACTTGTGGCTAATCCAGCCTCCCGAGAGACTCTCTCGAGCTACACTACTTCCGTTAAGC